CGTGCGTGACGTCCCCGACGAGCGAGACAAGCCGCGGATCATCGAGGGCTTTCTCTGGGAGCCCGCGCTCACGAAACGCGGCTGCTAGCCGGCCGTGCGGGTCTGCCGACGGGCGGTTAAGCGCGTAAACACGCGCTATGCGCGGCTCTGCAAGCAGGCACGCAAGGATGTGCGAGCCGATGTTGCCTGTCGAACCGGTGAGGAGCACAACCGGTACTGCGCCGACATCCGCCGCCTTCCCGACCCTGGCACGAGACATGTCTGTAGTGTACTTGGCGATCATCTCCCGGATCTCGTCTGCAGGGCTGCGCTGAGCACGGGTATCGGCAGACTGGTCCACGAGCGCAGCAAGTGCACTTGCGAGCTGCTGAACGGAAGGGCACTCGAAGACGAGGTTTGCGGGGACGCGTTGCGCCGCCTGGCGTACGCGCAGAGTCCCGGAGGCGCGGAGGGCACCGATGATGCGGTTGCGATAGAAGGTCGCGCTCAGGCTGCAGACGTTCGTCAATTTGTTTGCAGCGGCAAGTGGATAAGTCACGTCACTTGCCTGTCAAAGCCTTGCTGGAACAGATCGATGGCGAGAGCTATGGGCCGCCCATGCGAGACGAAGCTCTCGGCCTGCTCGGTAAGCCAAGGCTCCAGGTCGGCGGCCTCCCAGGACCTCGGAGGGCTGATATCCTGGTTGTCCGTGCTTGCAGAGATCGTCTCATAGCTAAATGCCGCGGTGAGAGCCCCAATTCCTAGCGCAAGAAAACACCACCCACAGCTGCTCAATTTTCTCCTTGTAGATAGCTAGAGCCTGATTGCGGATAATGGTCCTCTTGGCCGCGCGGGGCAGAGACTTGTCAGGGTCGGTGACGAGAATCATCTCCTTGAAGATCTTCGCAAATCCAGGTGCCTGCGCGTTGGCCTCTTCGACGTGCGTCCATATCTTGTTGCGAAACTCGGCGAGAGCGGCCATGTCATTCGGGTCGACGGCATGAGCGGGCTGCGGCTCCACGATGATGCCAGGCTGCTCGCGCTCTCGGCCGAACATCATGCAGCCACTGACGAGCGGACTCGCGGCAATGTACCCCTCTTGCGAGACCGGTACGATCTTCTCGCCTGTTCAACCCACGTCAAGAGGTGTGAGCACGGTTTACACTCAATATGCATACCGGTGCTCAGGATGATCACATCGTCCTTACGGCCAACACTGGAGGGCGGATCAGCAAGTCGTGCTGGGTAAGGTGAGCTACTACACACATTCTCCACAGGTTAGGCTTCGTGGGATGCGGCTCGACGAGGTCAGAGGTCGCGTAAGCCCTTTCACCAGGCACGTTATGCACAGGAAGGTCATAATTATCGGTTTCCTACCACAGGTGATCAGCGGCACATATCCCAGGCACGAAAGCCAACTCACATAGACGACAAGCTCGTACGTCCCGTCACCCTGGGGATCCCACTTGACGTTCGGTGTATTCGGTGATGCGTGAAACCACGCCCAGTTGGGGTCGGGCTCATGGCTTATCGCCGGGATCTCGCCCCAAGCGACGTAGGCGTTCCCGATCTCGGTGCTTCCATAGCCGCTATGCAGACGTACACCCATCTGCACCAGCTTGTCTCCGGTGGACACCGCGAGCGGGCCACCACCGAACATCTGTAAAGAATGTGGGTGGACCGCAGGCAGGTTGAGAGGGTGCGACACAGACCAGTACGTTGAGGGTCTTGAGATATTCGAGGATCTCCTTGGAGTGTAACCATGCCTTTGAAAGCGGGCTCGGTTTCGTCTGCGGCGTATCGTTGGTGAACGGGGACGCACCTCGATGAAAGAAGGCGACACAGCTAGTGCGTTGCACTTTGCGAGCTTCGCAACCTCGTAGGCATTCTGTGGGTGCGCAACGACCGGGGGCTCAGGGTACTGCGGGGTGTACACGACGACTTCTGCACCTGTCGCCAATGGATGGATCAGCTGCAGCATTATACCTAAAGTATGGAAGCTCGCGAGGCCCATCGTGCCGTAGCGCACGCCGTCCTGGCTGAAATAGTCTGTGGAGAGTCCAGATATGAGCAGCAGGCGACATGCGTATGGCGGTCAGCTAGACGTACCGCGGGCGATCCACTGCAGCATGCGGCGGTGCGTGAAGTGAATGGACTTGGGATAGCCGGTCGATCCGGAGGAGTGGAGGTATAGCACGGGCGTGCGCACGTCAACCGGCTTGCCCGGCGGCGGATACAGCTGGACCTCGGCGGCGATTGCGTTGGCATCCCTGCCGAGCTTGGGGAACGTCTCTAGCAGGCTTGGCAGCTCATCGACGCGAAGCTTAACCCCCTTGGCCTGCATGCCGCTCTGAACCTGCTCGGCCAGAGCGGCGGTTGGGGTGTGAGCAATGATGCGGGTGCATGAAACGGTCTCGAGTATGTGGCACACGCCCTGAGGCGAGTTGCGGGGAGATATTGGATATGGCTGTGAACGAAAGCACTGTCACGGACGCCGTCTGGCAAGAGATGCATGTGCACACCTACCACGAGGCCCGCGCGTATGAGGCCTAGAATGACGGCGATGCAGAGGATAGCATCGGTGTTGACGAGCAAAACAACAACCTCTGCGTCGGGACCTTCTCTATTTGGGCGCATGCGGTGCGCAATGCGGTGGCTCGCCTGTGCCATCTCGTGGTGGGAAATAGGCACGAGCTCTTCTGGAGAGTCTTTGGAGAGAAAGATGAACCATGGATTGTTTGCGTTGTGTGTAGCGTGGAAGTCGACTATGTCAAGGATGGTCAGTAAGGTACCGTCCAGAGGCGGTAGATGAGTGTCCATGCCGGGCACTTTGTAACATCTAGAGGGTCGACATTGTGCCTATCAAGTACTGAGGCGAACGCCGTGTCGGAGCCTGTTTCGCTATGCAACACTGGCATGCGATTCAATCCAATTGAAATCAATCCAACCTCGGGAAATATTAAGACATTTCTTAATCTCCCTAGGCAGTCCTTATCTAATCCGCACCAGTCAGCAAAACCGCAAGGGCCCTGAGACATCTACGGTATCTTTGTCCCAGATCGTGCATTCCGAGTCCCATGTCTCGTTTCGCACGCCAATCTCCTCGGCTCAAATGGAACAAGCGCACACAGCTCGCCGCAGAGCCGCTAGGCGCCTCCGTGGGAGTTCTCTGGACGCTCACTACGATTCGGACCTGGACATCCCGGGATTCCCGACATATTCGTAGATGTCACAGTAAGACTTGCGTTGTAGCCTCTGCTTACACTTATGCGGTCCCTAGTGGTTCTGACGCAGCTTGGAAGATAGGCTTCTCTCCTGGCTATCGCTATTTTAGATGCTGACGCCTGTCTGCACAGCCGGCTTGCCATGGGAAGAGAGCGAGATCGCACACGAGAAATGGCATAACGACCTCATTTTCAGGTTCCTCTACGTCCTCATACTTGATCGCTTCAGCGACTTCGTCGTCAACCAGGTCGTTGCGCTCGTGCGTGAGACAGTTTCGCAAAATGTTCGCTTCTCTCTTGCTGCACATACCGCGGCGATCGACTCTGAGATTTCACGCCATCCTGCTCGAGATGATCCGGCAGGACTTCTCCATTGGCCAGAAACCCGCCAACGATTATCCCAGAGATGCAGACAAA